TTCCCCAACCTGTTTTTGTTAAGCTTATAAGAACTTGGTATCACTGAGAGAACCGAGACTTAGAAAAACTTGACTGAAAGAGGCCAAAGGATTCAAAAGTTATTAGAAAGGACAGCCAGACAGTCAGAACAGACAGAAAGAAGGAACAGCATCATTTCCTCAGGAAAACACAATATAAAACAAGTGATAAGGCTGAAACTAGGGATATTATGTAAGATGAAAATGAAAAGTAATTTATAACTTGCAGTATGACATTCTCACTTGCAAAGGTTGGAATATTACCAGTTATATTCTACTAAAGAAGTAGGGAAATCTCATATGAAATTAAAACAGTAATAGTTTTTGAAATCTATCTTTATTGAAATAGCAGTGTGATAAACACAGAAGGACAATTCAGAACATTAAAAATTATTTTTATTAAGGATTGACTGATGGGAATGTTGTTTGTATTTTAAAACTAAAGTGGTCTCATTTTTAGAAGCAGTATGCATATTTAATTTATGGATATTTCAACTGCATTTTTATTGTGTAACGTGAACAGTCAATTTTTGTTTTTAAGGTACAATGAAACAGTATAGTTCATTCAGCCAAGTTTTATCTAAAAATCGGCTGTGGACTTAATAAAAACATTTCATTTTGTGTTACTGATTTCTCTAAGTGAAATTATTTCACTTTAAGACATTACTATTTCAAAAGGCATCTTTCAAGAACTGCCCTTGCTGGGTGTGAACAGGCCACTAGGTAAGACCAGCCAAAATAATCTAACAATGTTTGACAGTTAATGCAATTACAATTTCTTGTACAGTGATTGCTGTCAGACTAATTTCAACTTTAATAAATATTAAGAAGGCACCAAGCAAGCCATAACATTCTCATCTACTGTACTTTTTTTACTATTATTACTAACTAAAACAGTAATGCGAACCACACTAGGAGATTTCTTTTGAGAGTTTTCCTTGGTGTATTCATTATTCATAAATGCTACTTTTCCTTCTCTCCATCTCCCCTTTAGTTGATTAAAATGATGGGAGTTTTAGATGTAATGGTTGCAAGAAGCATGTGAATGAGAAAGTGCACAATGCATGACTGGGAAATAATGCAGTCAAGTGTTTTCGGAAAAGCACTCACAATATAGATACACCTGTGTAAGCTGTATACATGTGGAGATAATTAGTTACTTCAAAACTGTGCTGAAAGCCTGTAGTAACTCATACCTTCTTGTACTACTAATGAGATTTCAGAAATTAGATAAAACATTATTTTCTTCAAGAACTTGATATTATACAAGCATTTTCAAGTTATACTTTTTCTTACCTGTAGCAGAGCTGCAAACAAATATACTGCTATAAAGATAGGAGTTAAGGAAGTGTGGCCACTTTTCATTAAGTGGATAGTGTACAAGAAAATCAAGTGTCCAGGAATCACCAAAAGAAGCAGAACTTGGGCTGATTTGTTATTTACTCCTACAATAAAAAAAAATCAAAATTCAGTTAAGTTCTTCAATTACTATATCAGAATTTTTATTAATTTTAATATAAAAAGCGGGTTTGGAATTCTGCAGCATTGACTATTGTGGAACAGCAGGTATTATTTTCTGCTAAAAGATTCCTTGAGGATTTTCACAGAGGGGAAGAAAGCCACCCCTAGTGTGTGCCAGAGAAGTTAAGCAGGGCCCTTCCAGAAGAAGGTGCAAACTGTCTGCTTTCATTCTGTACTCATGTAATACCATCTAATTTTTGGCGCTGCAGTGACCTCTTAAAGTCTTCCTAGGAAAAAGGATGTTTTGGACAACATACTCAAAACATCCTCAGAAGTACGTTATATTTCTAAAAAGTAATCCCACATTTACTATTTTCTCATCTGTTCCAATTCATTTCATAAATATGAAAGTGTAATACATACTATTGACATCACATTTCACCACATTTACTACATTATTAGGAAAGGGCACGATAGCTACAGGGGAGGAATAAGCTATGAAGCAAGAATCTGTTAAAAAAAAAAACAGCAAATGGGAACTGGAAAGCGGGGACTTGGCTTAGTAATAATGTTAGATATAAAGTTTGGTCCTAACCATAGATTGGTTTGAACTTCTGGAGTTAAATGACAAAGGTTAGGAGCAGGTAAACAAGTTAAGGAAAGATGAAGGCTGAAATCCTTGAGTGGGTATCATCAGTGTTCTGCCTCATCAGTCTCTGTCTTCGACCCTTGCCAGGGTTACACCTTTCTCTGTGTTCTTCCCTATGCATTCCCTCTGCAGGGAGTTCCTTGTGATTCCCACAGGCAAACAGCTTCAGGCAAAGGAAACTGCCAAGACTCTGCTGCCTTTGAATTGCATACAAGTTCAGTTTGTTGCCATTTGTCACTGGTGGCACTGTCCGGCATACAGGGGGAAAAACAGGAGACATGAGACAGTAGTTTTAACAATTAACTGACTAATACATACCTGTACCATAATAGGTTCTGCATGGGTAATAGCAACCCTTGGCTTCTTCTGGCAGCTCTCCAGGAATGCTGTGTAAATGGAGGTAGGTAGAAATTCTGCTAGCTTGAATAGCCACTAGATTACCACCAATACCTGAAATACAAAAGGAAACAAGTGGTAAATTTTCAACTATTTTTTTCTCCTCTAGTAGGCAGTGTTTTTGCAAATTTGCCAACTTCTTCTACGTTTACCACAGCCTCCTACATACAAAAGTTAAAAAGAGAAACATCTTTAGAATAAATAGTAGTTATAGACAGGCTAACACCAAGCACTACAATACATAAAAAAACTTTGGGCTACAACTTGGTATATCACTGGATATTTGGAACATCTATATTAGAAATTTGGATATTTGGAGATCAGTTTTAATTCTTGCTAAGTGCAAAAGATTCCTCCAAAATGTTCAATCTAATACTTTCTCATAGGTGAAGCTCCCTTTTGTTACTCCCTCTTCTTCGGAAATCCCTCTTGGAACAATAGTACTACGTAGTTGTGCCACTGCTGGATTACCTTCCTAGGTCAGTATTGCCTGCAAGTATAAAGCAAAGCAGATGCACTCACTACCACAAGCATAAATGCAGATTTCACACACAGAATCAGAGGGCTGGAAAAGACTTCAAAAGCTAATCAATCCATTCCCCTTTGCTACAGAGCAAGATTAACTACAGTCTTCTGGAATTCATAATTAAGGTTGAAAGGACAAGTATTTTAATAACTGATTTTCAAAAGACTGGTAGTGATGGAGATTCTATCTTCTCCATGACAACTGATGATATACTTCCTATTAGAAGTATATGTAATAAATAGATATACTATATCTATATATATAGATACATATACCACCTAGTATAGGATAGATTAGGATGCAAAGAGAAGTGGCTGGCACTGCTACAAGGCCAATGCATTATCTCTGAAAAGTCGTAGAGATCAGGGGATATCCCTGTCAACTGGAAGAGGGCAAATACCACACCCATCTGCAGCAAAGCATTTGACAGTTTCCCACAGCTTCCTTCTAGACAAATTGGATGGGTAGTTTGTGAGATGGGTAGGAAATTGGTCACACTCAGGGGGTGGGGATCAATGGTTTTTAATTGGGCTGTCAGCTTGTCACAAGTGGGGACCCCCAGGGATTGATACTGGGCCCCAAACTGTTCAACATCTTCAGAAATGACCTGGATGATGGGATTGAAAGCACTCTCACCAAGTTTGCTGATGACACTAAACGGGGTGGTGAGGTAGACATGTCAGGAGAGCCATCTTACAGAGACCTGGAAAGGCTTGAAGAGTGGGCTAGCAAGAACAGCATGAAGTTTCGCAAAGACAAGTGCAAAGTCTTGCACCTGAGACAACATGACCAAAAAGCACAGCACAGGCTAGGATCTGTGTGGCTAGGTAGCAGCCTTGCTGAAAGGGACCTGGGGGTCCTGGTGGACAAGATTAACATGAGTCAGTGGTGTGCTGCTGCAGCAACAAAGTCAAATCAGATCCTGGGCTGCATCCACGTCTGCTTGCAAAGATAGAGACATCAGTGCTTGTCAGGCCAAACCTGGAGTACTATGTCCAGTCCTGGTCCCCACAATTCAAGAAAGGCATGGACAGACTGGAGAAGGTCAAAAGGAGAGCCACAAAGATGATCAAAGAGCTGGACAACCTGCCCTATAAGGAAAGACTGAAGGAGTTAGGTCTCTTCTCCATGGAGAAGGGAAGCCTCAGGGGGCACCTCATTACAGTTTTCCAGTTCTTAAAGGTTGGCTACAAAGCGCACTAAGGCTCTCTATTCACAATGAGACACATGGAGAGGACATGGGGCAATGGGTACAAGTTGCATCAGAAGAGGTTTCATCTTAATATAAGACAGAAAATTTTTACAGTGAAAACAATTATTCACTGGAACAACCACTCCAGGGGCGTGGTGGAGTCCCCACCACTAGAGGTTTTTAAGACATGACTGGACAGGGTGCTAGATAATCTCATCTGGGATCTCTGTCCCACTAAAGGCTGGATAGATTGTCTCTCAAGGTCTTTTACAACCTGAGCTGTTCTATGAATTTTTACTTCAGCGAACAGAAAACAAAACTAATTTGTTATATCTACATTACAGAATGCAGTGGCACTAGCATCATATTCTCATACCGCTATTATACTCCAGAGTTGTCTACTTGCCCATCAAGCATATGTTTGGGTTTTTTTTCCCCAGACGCTTTACATAGCAATGGGTTGCTCTGAGAAGCTATGATTAGCGAGAAGTAATGCGGATCTTGCCCCCACTTCAGAAGGAGAAAGCCCTTGTTTATTGTAGTTGAACTGATTTGTTAATCTGATGCTTAGGGCTTTGTTTAGCTGCAGAACAAATGTCTGTGGTCACCAGAAGATGCTATGTGCCAAAATCTTTTGAGGACTATGGAGTGCTTAGGACAAACATCTAGTATTGGTAACTCAATGATTTCCTGTCTCACCATCGCTTAAAGACAATTAATGGCAGAGCCTAACAAGGGAGTAGGACGTTTAAGCAAAAGGTTTCAAATATAAATCAGGACATAAGGTAGAAAAAATCATGGACTTGGCAGAAAGGACTGTTTATGAAACTTACCTGCATCTTACCAGTCAGGAGATAAAGGGACAAAATGTGAACTACCAAAAGGTTGAGTCAGTCTTTGCAAAGAAAATTAAAATAACAGTCGCTTTTTTTCAGACAAACTACAGAATCAGATGTAAAATAAGGGATTTATATAAACTACAAAAGGGGTTTAAACAGATTAAACCCAATCTAAGTAGGGTCCAAAGTCTGTCTTTTGATTGAGAACAATAATTTTGAGACTTCTGACAAATGAGAAGTCTCATTTGAGAAGGTATGGAAAGGGAGGCAGAAATAAAACTAAGGATCAATGCACTACATTTGGATGGGGATCAGATTATTTCTGTGACTGAATTACGAAAAAGCTGTTATGTAAAACTGCTTCTTAATAAAGCTACAAAGCTGGTGATGGTGCCATATGACTAGAAAATATGAAACTGATTCTGCTTTAAAAAAGAGGTTATAAAAGCAATCTGGGTAATTATAAGCAGGTTGACAACTGCAATAAATGATATATTCAAAATAATACTAAAAGAAAAAATTAGCAAACTCTTCTCTCACTATCCATATCTATGGATCCTATGAGAAGAAATAAAAGATAGAAGTAAATAGGGCTGTTTTTCAAGGTATGCTTTGAGGTTTGTAGCAATGCAACCATAAACCATGTTGTCATCAAAAGCCCTCAGATTTCAAGTATTTCCTAGGATGTATGCAATTTCCTCTTGTGACTGACAGTTATCTGCTTCAACAAATTCAGACAATCAGAAATATGATAGATGATCTGCCTAATTAATAACAAGGGAAACTGAGTGAGAGAAAAGAATTAAGGAAAATGGAAACTTGCCCATTTGAAATGGCAATTAAAAGAACCTGTCTGGACAACAGAGACATGGACAAGTCTATAAAAGAAGCTATGAGATTGGTTGTTGATCCTTTGATAGGTAGCTGTTAATCAAAAATCTTTTTACTTTTATAACCACTGTTTAGAGATAGTATATCCCAAGCCCTATTGTGCATGTAGATAACAAGAAAAATTATGGAAAATTATTAAAAGTTATTCTAAAACAAACTGGCTAGCCATGGAACACTGGTAAAAGGAGGAGATAATTTGCTCTGCAAAGAAAGCTGACATACTAACCAAAGCAGCCAGCGTGGAGTGTGATTTCAAGAGATGTAACATTCTCTTTTCTATTTTAATTACAGCTAAGTTGAACATACACAATCTCTTTTAGCTAACTGGAAATGCAATATTCATATGTTAAGCAAAATTATTTTAAATTTCATTTGGTCTGAGTCTCAATAATCTAGTATCAATGGTATAATTTTAACTCATCGAAGATAGGCAAGGGTACTGAAGTATAAAAAGCTTCTAGAATCCATATATCCTGCTCAGTCTCAACTGGCTGACAATGTATGGCCAGCAGCAGCCACACTGTCTTTTAGTTCTGTACATTCACCTAGCAGTTCTTCCTTGGAATTATTTTTGAACCTTTGGGCCAATTTCAACCACATCTGACAAAAGGATAGAAATACTAATTACCTCCAAGTACGGTTAAACAAGTTAATAAAAAGGAGACAATGGCTAGGTAAATAAAGAGAAAGATTCAAATCCGTTCCCTCAGGGAGACAAAGGCAGCTCCACATGAACTGCAGAGTTAACACCATAAGCATGCTGGCTGGCCAGTCAGCACCTAGCCTGGAGCTAGGCATTATGCCCCTTGCTCAGCAGTAGTTCAGTGACACAGAAGAGTAATGAAAGCAGAGGGAGAATGGAGAGAATGTTGTGAGCAGGGGTATTGCAGGGACACAAGGCCATAAGGAACACTGGAGGCTGAAAGGGCTCTCTAGTGCTCTAAAAACTCAGGATACAAATCAGCATGGAGTCAGGTTTCATTATTCTGCTGGTCACAGAATGACTTGTATAAAGCTGTGTTTGCATTGAATGAATCAGTTCAATATTTACAGAGATATTCAGTTTGTTTTTTAACAGCAGTTACTGTGTATGTGAAGTTATCTCCACAGTATTAGTTTAATCAGAACCCTGTAAGAAGCAGAAAACAGATAAAACTGTATAGATGTCAATACACAAAACTGATAGCTTCTCAGCATCTTCTGAATGCATAAAATGGTCATATGCTCAGTAGCTGCTCATATTATGAAAATCTGAGGACTGTTTCCATAAACATTTAAGTCGGAAAATTTTTCTCCTGGAGAACAGTATTGCAGTCATCATAGCAAATACTTTATAATAAAGACTAACTTTGCTAGCTTCTTTTCATTCTCATGAGAACTACAACACAGAGAAAAATAATTTATTTCAAAAGTAAAATCCTGCAACTGTTACTGCATTCCTCTCAGAACAGTAGATGTGTTTAAGTTCAATATGAGAGTGCTACTTTGTCAATAAACAGAAGAGACATTGTCTGCTAAAGTGTGAAGAATATCAAGCTGACTTACAACATTAAAAGAAAATTGAAAACCTCATCATTTTATCAAGCCAGTTAAGGGCTAAGCAAGA